TGCTACAGCCGAGGTGTCCGGTTTAAAAGTCGAACTCATTATGCGGGGCTAACGGATTCCCAAGTGAGAATGTATTTAGTTTACAACTTTAATAAATGCAGATTCAGAGTTGTCCTGTTGTGTAGTTCGTGCTGGAGTGTCTAGACGCTAGAGCAGATCTCTGGCCGAAAGCGTTTCACAGCACGTGAGAGTACAAGTCAAGAGACTTCACTTATGGGACACACAAATAGTGAAATATTCCTGAAAGATAGTTGATATGTTTTCTTTGTGGAGAAGCACTCCTAGTTTGTGGCATTGCGTCAATAAATACTGATGACTAGTGTATAATAACTGCCCAGAGAGCAATAGACACAGGCGACAAGCTTAGACCCCCTATCTATGCAACTTACTTCAAAAACCTTGTTGGTGCAGAAGGACAATTTGTTTCCTCCACTCGTCAATACAGACAAGCTGAAGACTTCTCTGCATGGTCACTGCCCTTTACGGCCCCTAGCTTAGACTCACAAGTACTCCCCATCGAATAGTTCTGCAGAAATGAACAGCTCTATCTGAGGGATCTGACACTAAATGCTCGTGCTAGAAGGCGAACTATACGACAGCAAAACAGCAGTAAGCAATGGGTGACGCACCTGCAGCAACGGAGTGCCAAGCCCTGCATCGCGTAGAATGAACATCTGCCCCCAACACTATTGCAGGCCACACCGATAACACCAGACGAAACATCTGGAAAGTTAGGGCTTTCATCACATTACCGCAAGGCTAGCTAGTGTGGCCAGCGCCCGCAGCCCACAACGGAACAACACTAGGATGCACTTCAACCCCACAAGTTAAAGGCAGAGCGCCACACGGCTTTAAGATCCCCTAAAGCAATTCATTTATTTTTGGAAAGCTGTGTTTTTCACCAACGTTAGGCCTTGAGAAGGGAATGGAGACACGCAATAAAGGGGGGTTCATCACGGAGCTGGCAGCCAGCAGGGCCCGCTGAGTGCCTGCGTATGCCCCTCTCCGATATTAGTCTCCTTTCTGGCACACCAGGTAAGCGCTGTTATTCCTGTTTATTCATGTACCTTAAATTGCTTCTTTTTGAAGCCGCTGCGAGACGTCCCCAGCCATCTTCCCTTCCCTCGCTTGCCTGATGCTACGTCGGGGAACACGGCAGCTGGCAGGGCCACGGCGGCTGCTCCCTTCGCTTGGATTTGAGAGGTTTGCGAAACCATAGGGCCGTAGAAGGCCCAACAGACAGACAAGAACAGTATCGCAAAAGTCACTGGGGAAGAGCTGGCCGTTTCCGTGGCTCCAGTGCCGCGTTTCCCCACGGGGCTCTCAGCTCTTCCCTCAACATTCCGCAGCTTGTATTAGTCGTCTCTTAGTGGCCTTTTTACAGTCGCCACCTTCCGTTTGAGTCTTGTTTTCTCCTAAGCTTTCCTGCGCCCCCTCCTTACTCCCTTGGTTTGAGCAGCTCCAGGCAGATGCACTCTAATACTGAGAGGCTCAGCGCGTGGCGCCACCTTTGGGCTATCGCCGTTGTGGCCTTCCTTCTAGTTGTGGCTCCAGCAGCTCGTAAGCGTCCCCTCCGGCAAGAAATAGTGGATGGAGCTACCATTGAGGCGCCTCAGGCGTCCCTGCACAGATGGTGGACAACTCTTCAGGAGCAAGTCGTTGCTGCAGACTCCACGCGCGCAGTGAGCAGCGAGTATGTTTCACGGCTTCCGGCGGATCAGCAGGATCTGTGCGAGCGTTTTTCCCAAGTTTGTCTTGATAGTGTAAATGGCGACGATGAGCGTAGCAGCAGCGAAACCAGCAGCAGCCGCAGAGATAGCAGTTTGAGGGAAAGGGTCTTCGGAATTGGGCTCGCTGAGATGACGGATTTTGCTCTGGCAGCTCCCTTTTTATTGGCGTCTAAATGGACTGCCTTTACGGAGATGGTGCTGAGTCTTGGGATTCTCAAGGATAAATACCTCAGCAGGTTTGCTGCTCTGCAGGAGAAGCTCGCTCCCTTTCTCCTTATAACGCAGGAAGAACGAGCAGAAACAGCAGCAGCAGCAACCCGGCCTCCAAGCAGGCCTCGCACTCACCGGAGACAATCAAGCAAGCGTGGTAAAAAACATGCTGTTCACGAGGCATCAGAACATGCAGATCTGGCCCCACAGGGGAGGTATTCAGCAGCTGGAGCAGCAGTAGCCGACGCAGCAGCGGCGACAGCAGCTGCAGCTGCTGCTGAGGGGACAGATGTGGGCATTGATATGGAGTACGTGAGAATTAGCTGGACGGAGTTGCAGCAGCTTGCTGAGGAAGAACGCCAGGTAGCCTCAACTTATCTCGCACTTGCTGCGGAGGGAAATTTATTTCATTCAGCGCCGGATGATTGCCTGTGGGAAGCTTTGCTACAGCAGGTAGTCATTAAGGCAACAGCAGCAGCTTCCGCAGCAAAAAGTGGCTTGACCGCGACCTTTCCAGACCTGTACCGCGAAGGTACGGAAGGGTACAATACAGCATTCGCTGCACTTGCTGCTGCTGATGACCACATCCGACTGCTGCTTTCGCAGCAACAGGATACATACGCAGGTAGCCAGCCTGTTCTGTTCTTCTTAAGAGGAATCTTGCTTTCTATATGCGAAGGAGGGGAATGCACTGGAGTTTTTTAAGCTTAGGGGTGAAGCAGCAGCAGCACTTGTTCGTGCTGCTGCTGGTGCTGCTGGCACAGCCGAGATGCACCTGTGGCATTAGAATCGAGACAGCCGTGAAGCTAACTGCTGCAGAGCTCGTCCGGTGTTATTTTCTACTGTATGGCCCGTGCAGCATCGAGGCATATGGTAGCATCAACAGCAGCCGCAGCGCCTGCAGCAACAGCAGGGTGGCATTTGGAGATCAAGGAACAGAAACAGAGATGTAGCGTTGGTGGGTTTCTCACTCCATGCGCTGAAGTTAATCCTGTCATCTGTATCCCAGAGCCATTTCCCTCCTTCACAGTGAGTTAGCCGCTACTGCCTACGGCTCTCCATTTGCCCTGCCTTTGTGCATTCGTAAGGCTTCCCTTCTCCGCCTGTAGTGGCGTTGCTACGTGCCGCGAGTGCTTATCGGTATATTGCTGCATTGCGGGCATCATAAGGAAATCATTTGCGGCAGCGTGAGAGCATACAGATCTGATCACCAGCAGAAGTGACAGCAGCGGGAGCTGTAGCAGCGGCACCAGAGATCTCCAAAGAGTTTGACAGTTTGATTGATGATGTTCTGTCATGTCAACGGGAGTGAGCGGCGTTGGCGCGCCGCGGCAGCAAAAGAAAGGTCAGTAAATGATACACGATAGGTGCAGCTAACAGTAGACAGTCTGACTCTGGTTAGCTGTAGTTTGTAGCGACAGGCACCAATGGATTTTGTCGGCCTTCGCAGCTTGCTGCTGCACAAGCTTCCCATTTGCTGCTCGTGGCACCGAAAAGCAGTTTTGGCATCTTGAATGACCGCTGACCTGAAGAGACTCTGGAATAAATGTTTCATTGTGTAGAGCATTTTGCGTTGCTTCCACCCGCACTTCATGAGGCATTTGCTCTCATCCTCTCATCTTGAGATTGGACTGTCTTTCCAGTTTTTTTACATCATAATCAGACTTTATTATCAGTAGTTGGCGACACCAGGAGCAGAGGTGTCCTAGACAGCGGCAGAGGAATCCCCACGGAATTGCCCAAATAGCACCACAACTCTCTAGACGGCAGAGAGTACTGTGCGAACAATTATCGGCAAAAGTAATATACAATGCATAGATACATACGGGAGGAATAACTGTTTGAACAAGAGGCGCATGTAGGGTCCTGCATCGCCATTTATTCCCAGAACAAGAGAGGGCAGCACAGATTCTACGCTAGCTGCGGAACAGCGGGAAGTTCTGGCCACCGCTGCCTCCAACACACTATGCAACCGCCTAAGCTTCCGGGGGACCGCGGTGACGCATGCATTTTGGCTTTTTGAGGTCTCTGGGGCAGGTTTCGTGTTTATCGTAGGCTAGGGGCGCGCGTTGTTACTCTGATTTCCTAACCATTGAGTCTCACATGCGCTGCAAAGGCCAAATGACATTCTCATGCTAGTTCCTGATTCCCACGACGTCTGATTGTGGGAAGCAGGCACGCCCATGAGGGCGTCATTCGCATGGTTTTGTATGGTCACTTCGCTGTGTCTTCCGCCCTGAGTCAGACACTCATTGTGGCTTTCGTCGTTGCTGGGAGTACCCTCACAGCTCGGTCATCTCTTGCGCGCATTGGCCTTATTTTTTTGTCCATTGCCTCCAGCCGTTCCGTTACTCGTCTGTGGCTCTTCACCGCCCCCAACAGTCTCCGTACTAACAATCCTTCCGTATGCAAGTGTACACATACTGCTAGAAGTACCAGAAGTCTCCTGCCGGCCTGACGGCTTAACTGTGCGCCTCAACTGCCCGGCGCCAGTGGTCGCTTACTGCCCAAAGCAATGTGCAAATTCCACATAAACTGCATCCAACAGCAAAAACTACGCGGCCTTTCCAACTGAAAGTCAACTTGCTAAGACGGACTCGTTTGGTTGTTGCTTCAAACGGACAGCAGAAAGGAACAGACGTATCCATCCCTCATATATAAATAAACCCATTCGGTGATAATGCAGCAGCAGGAATTGCTGCAGCAGAAGTGCCTGTGCAGCTACTGCACTTGTTCGTCTGTCCCTCCTTGCTGGTCTTTCCCCTCGTTACAAACTCATGCATGCGTTGCTGCTGCTTTACCTGCTGCTGCTGCAACTGCGTCTGTTGCTGCGTAACCTGCTGCCGCTGCGACAGCACCTACTGTAGCAGACAGAATTTCTGCAAAGTATGGTGCTGCTGATGCGCGACGTGTTGCCTGTGGCACTGCACGTGCTGACGCTGCATGTAATTTTATCCTGTTCCGCTCGCCGCCGTTGCTACAGCGAGAGTAGCGGCAGCAGTACCACCAACAGCCACTTCTCTTTAAGAAGTCCAGAAATCGGGCCCGCGGAACTGGCGGCTAGTCAGCACCCAATATGTACACAATGGCATCTCTGAGCTGCGGCAGTCTGCGTAAATCGCCGAAGCTCTCAGCGCGATTCAATGCAGCCACGCAGGATCGTCGCCACGCCTCGAACGTTACGTCTGAGCATACACAGAAATAAAATCCAACCAAACTGAACAAAGTGAAGAACAAAGAAATGTGGGGGGCCAGACTTCGTAAGAGTAATGCACGAACAGAGGCAAAAAAGAACGACGGGAACGTTTATAAACCCATCGTGGGGAGGGGCGACAACGGATCGCATATCGGCAGTAATAGGAATATACATGCTCGCAAAGCTGTTCAACTTTCATGCATAAACTGCACGCGAAAAAACACTTCGCTGCAAATACCATGCCGCATTTTCGCTAACCCACTGCAACCATGGGTTTCACAGATGAGCATGCGATCGCTCACATGTGTATGGAAGAGCCACGCAGTAAGTGGAAAAGGCGCAAGCAAACAAAATGCTCAATCTTTGAAAGAAATGAAACAAGTGCACATCAAAACGCGGAGCCACCTAACACTGGGAACCCCGCAACCACAGAGTTCATGGCTCTTAACAACGAAAAATCTTCATGCTAGTATTGCCACTATCGTTACTCTTGCTGCTGGTTTTCCTGTGTGAATTTTACTATAGATTGTCGAAGTGGTTATATTCCAAGCTTACACTTCCTGAGAATTGCATCCTTTGGCGGAGATGGCAAAGCTTCTATTGCCGTTCTCCTCGACCCTTCTTGTTGCTGCTGCTGTTGTTGCAGCAGGGAAAGCAGCTGCAACTGCTGCAGCCGCTGCTGCTGCTGTTGCTGCTGTGAATGCATCGGGGGAAGGGACTTAAGGGGCCTCACAGGTGACGTGTCCCTTTTCATCCCTTTCGGCTGCATCAGCAGCAGCTGCTGGTGTTGCTGCTGGAGCTGCGAGGCCCTCAGACCGCCAGCCGTAGCCGCTGCAGCAGCAGCTACAGCTGCTGTCGCCGTTCCACTGGTTCCACCTCCCCCTGAAGCGGCAGCAGCCGCTGCAGCTGCAGCCGCAGCAGCGGCCGCAGCGCTTTCTTTCCGGGCAAGCGCCTCTACGTACAAAAGAATCTGCTCAGGCCTTCTGCTGCTGGGCAGCCTGTGCTGAATAATGCAATCTCTGAATAACGAAACGAACTCTTCCAACTCCTGAGGAGATGTGGCGGCGCGCACTCGACGTTGACTAGCCTGAACAAGAAATTTCCAACAGCACATGAGGCCAATCTAAGTTGTCACATCAGAATGTGAAAACAGAGTAGGGATAACAACAAATTACTGACAACATGTCGCCTTTGTGTGTCTGGTTGCTCTCTCGTTGCTTCTCCTGCGATGCCACAGAGGCTTATCTACTGGAGAGTGACACCCGCCACTGTCCTAGCTAAAGTAGTACAACTCCTCATATCAAGCTCACTTCGATACAGCGGCAACTGAGGGCACACAAATCCACTGCGTCTCGTGGAACGCCGGCAGCAATAAGAGCTGAAGGGGAGGAGCAGAGACGCAACAGGTCCTGAAGCACCATTCCTAATGCCTCGCTTAACAAACGCATATTAATACTGTTGCTGCTGCTGCTGCTACTGCTGCCACTGCTGGCGGTCCCAAAATTCTGGCTGGTGCTGCCCGTATTGCTACCCGCCGCTGCAACTCTACGGGGAAGCTCCACTCCTCCTCGCGGCTGCTGCTGCACCAGCTTCTGCTGAGAATCATGAGCAAATGAGCTTCCGAAGACAGGTAGTTCGCCCAAAGGAGCACCAGTTCGCGACCTTGGGGGCCGCCCTCTCTTCCTGGGATTGTTCTGCTGCTGCGGATGCTGTTGAGTTCGGGCGTGCGTTTTCCTGAATGCCCCATCCGTAGCTTCGTCATCTGTGAGGTGAGTTGTAGGCGGCCTCCTCTTCCGTAGCTCGTAGGGTCTGCCCCCAGATGTTGTTCCAGCTTGCTGTGCTTCGCCACTTGCGCCTGCAGCTGCAGCGCCCCTGCTGCTATCGGTATCCGCTGCAGCCGCTGTTTCGTCTGCGTCTGTTTTGCTGCCTTCGTCCGTTTCATCCATTAATGTCAGGCCAAGTCTCTCGAGCTCGTCGCTGTCATCCCCATCACGTAGAGGCTGGCCAGCAGCCGCAGCGGCAGCTGCAGCAGCCCCTGCCCTCTGTCTGTACTTCTCCGTGAGCTCTGCAGCAATGGCGGCAGCGTCAACGGCTTTGTCTCCGCCTCCTGCCAAGATCTCTTCCTGTCTTCTCCTGCACTCTACCGCCAGTTGCCTTGCCTCCGAAAACCCATAACGTGGCACGGAGAAATACACATTTTTTTTCCTTCCGCTGCTGCCATGCTGCACCGGCCCCACAGCTATCCACTCGTGGCGAGTACTGCTGTAGCATACACCCTTCACTCTTTCCACGCGTTTCGCAAGCATCTGCCACCGCAAATAGAGCTCTGGACCCACCACACGCTGACGGCGCCGTGGCGTAACTGCAGCTCCTACCTCACCTCCAGCATCATCGGCCGCGGCTGCTGTAGCAATAGCTGCTTCCTCACCCTCTTGTTCCGCAGATACTGCTGCAGCAGACGACTCTGAGCCTGCCCCTACTGCCAAGGCTGACGCTGTGTCTGTTGCTGCCGCGCCTTCTGCTGCAGTAGCGGAGACAGTGGCTGCTGCTGCTGCGGCAGACGATAGAGCCACTGCTGCTTCTAACGCCTCTCGTGCTTTCCCTTGCCTCGCATTACTAGACGTAGATGGCGACTCTAGAGACTCCGCCGCTCCTAAGTTCGCTTCTTCAGCTAAAAATGCTGCAAGGGAAGGGAGGCCATCAGACAGCCGCGCTAGGGCCAACTTGGGCGGTACCGTATCGTCCGCCCTGTCTGGTGTTACTGCATCAGAGCCTCCTGCTTCAGCTCCCCGTTGTAACTGGTGCTTTGTCCTTGTGCTCCAACCGTTTACACCTTGCAATCTGGGGTCTTCTCCACTCGTTTCGGACTTGTGTTGCTGCTGCCGATGCTCATGCTCTTCCTCCGATTTAGCAGAGCTAGCAAACGTGGCACCGGCAGGAGTGGACCTTCTGTTATGCTCCCCTTGCTCCTGCCACTGCTGCAAGCTAGACCCTTCGACCTGTTCTAGGCAGGCCACCGAGTCTGGGGAAGCGGTAGCCATTTGAGCAGGAGCAATGCTGCCGCTGTTGCTGCTGTTGTAGCTGCTGCAACTATCTGTGCAGCACTTTTATACTTGTGAGACAACAGGTGCCGCATGCACTGTTTCAAACTGTGCTGTTAGTGGCTTTGGTGTCGTCGCTGTGGTGCTTCAGAGGCGCTGGGTTGAGTTGATGGGCTTCGCTACATTTGCTGCTGCTGCTTCAGTGTCCCTTCTCGAAATTCTCGTACAGCGCAGGAGTGAGAGCAACTGTAGGAGCAGGAAGCGCCTTGCCTTCGAGGATTTCAGAGAACAGCTAGGCTCTCGACCCCCCCCCCCCAATCACCCAGCAAGAGCAGCAGTGGCCGGAATCGACGGCAAGCCCGCTTCAAGGTCCCCCAAGAGGCCAATATTTAAGAATGAAACGTAAACAGCGCTATATTTCAGCGGAGAAAAGAAGCAGCAGCAGCAGCAGCAGTTGATGTTGCTGCTGCAAGGCCATATGACGGCGAGCCCGGGGGCCCCGGGGGACCTAAACGACAGAAATAGTCTCCTTCAAGATGCACTGTATCGTTTTAAGCTACATGTATTCCTCTGAATCAGCTCCTGTGGTGGGATGACGCTGTTGCTACAGGAGCAACGGCAGCAGCAGCTGCTGCTACGAGGCAGCAGGAGGAAGCAGTGAGGGAAAGGAGTGAAGAAAAAGAAGATGCGAAAGAGATGCTCTTCAGGCTAGTCTGTCTAAGTATATGTAAGCTCTGCTGCGTTTCAGCCGAAAAAGCCGTCACTACGGTTGCTGTTCCTGCGCTGCAACAACGAGGCGCTGATGCTGCTGCTGCCGGCTGCTGCTGCGGCGCTGTTGCTGCATTACACCAGAGCAAAATTGCTGGCGCATTGTCCTCTCTCATGCGCCCACTGCAACAACTAGAGTGAACTGCTACAAGCCCAGTATCATCGAGAATCGGTGACGGGAAAAGCCGCAGCGTTTCTGCTGCTTCTGCCATGGCCTGAGCGCTGCAGCAGTTGCAACAGCAGCAAGAGCAGCTGCTGGTTCCGTTGGGTGGACTGTCTTTCAGTCAGGTCTTTTATGTACCAAAGCCACTTGGCTAAAGATGCTACTTAAATAGAAAGGGAGAAGCCTCGAAAGGTGGAGGAAATGAACCTGTTGAAGGGCTTGTGTCCCCCCGGTGGTTGTGGTGCAGGCGTCGGCGTGCATCTTGTGTCCGTGTTCGAGTTTCTTGTTTGTTTGCTTTTGAATCTGAAAATACATGAATGTACATTTTAGGTGGATTTTGTACCGTCTTCATTCGAGACATAACAAGAGGTGCCCTCATATATTTCGCCTTAGAGAATGAGCCAGCCCTGTCACCACCCGCAGGCGGCTGATGATTCCGTGCAGGTTTTCTGTAATCTTTCACGGCAACGAGTCCTCAATTTCCGTGTCCTTTACTTCATTTTTTTGTTATTGCTAGACTCAAAGAATTAAAACATCAATTTTCGTATCTTTAGGCGTGCAGGGAGTGAAGTCACCTGCGGGGCTGGGAACTTCAGCGGTGTACGTGCAGCGTAAAAGACAAACAGACACAATGAAAAAAGCAGTCTGCCAAATTTACTTTATTTCCTCTACCACTCCTTCCCATTTTCCCACTGTTCAGGGGAGGGGAAGCATCACTCTGTCTCGATTTTACAGTGGCCAGAGGCTGCTTCTTTGGAACTGAAACGCGCACAGGCAGTTTAGAAAAATCAACGGAACAAAGCCTGAGGAGCCACTGCCTCCCAGATGTACTATCAAGCTGCATTTTACAGGCATCCCTATGGACTTGAAATGTTGAGAACTTCCATACAAGTTATCCCTGCCGAGCGCAAGAGTTCGGCAATGTAGCAGAAGCAAGCAGGAAGTCATGGGGACCAGCTCATCCGCAGCTCGAAGAACTGATATGAAGCCTTCTCAGGTTCTTCCACTCCAGAGTTTCTTGCCTCCTTGTCGTGAACCCACATGGCGCTCTTGATAGCGGCAACAACCAGTCTTAGCTCATCTGTTTGTGAGCGCTTTGCAGCAGAGGATTCTTGAAGATGCAGCCCCCCATTTGAGTACAAATCGCCAAATCTTCTTCTTTGTACTGTGCTGGAACTGCTTTTAGCGCGCTAAAGGTTTGTGGCAGTGAAACACTGGCCTGTTTTTTGCTGAGAGGCTGTAAATTCACTAAACCTCTCGCCTCGATTACGCATGGTTAGCTTTTGTAAACCGGTACTCTTTGTCTTTTTTCTCTGCGATTCTCGGCACGGCAGGTGCTGTTGCTGCGAACCACAGCAGGGCAGCTCTAATTCTGCTCAGTCTCTTTCAAACTGCAGCTGCTTACGAAGGAGCTCGAATTTGCTTCTGCAGCAGCAGCCAGTGAGTGCCGCTACCCTTGATGTTGACGGAATAACAACAGAGGCTGCAGTAAATGGATAAGTTGGTCCCTTGTTGTGTTTCTTTCACGCACGCTCTATGGCGCCGGTGGCCCTGAACTGCATATGCACCCAAGCCACGAGCAGCGGGCAATGGGTGCCTAAAGGCGGGAGCCACTAATAAGACTGATAGTACACGTGTAAAGATGACAGCGAAGAAACAAGCATGGGAGGCAGACGTGAGTGAAGACCTCTGAAAAGTGCGGGGGCTACGTAAGGTTGACTTACCGGGAGCCTAGATCCTATCACCCCTGCTGCTGCTAGTAAACAACATTAACACGTTGCTGCTGCCATCGTTAATGTTACGCCCGAAATTGCGGCACAGCTCGAAAATGCTGTTCTTCCAGTCTTTTGGGGTACATATTCGTGCCTCCTTTCACTCGAATAGGCTTTTTTGCATGGCAACTAAATGCAGAATCCAGAAGGCTTCAGCGGCGTGCGAGACGTGCCTGTAGTCAAGCGCTAAAGAACTAACGGATCATCCGGGAAGACTGCAGCTCTCTGCTTCCCTGCTTGTTGGCTTTCGCCATATATTCTATATCAACTAGCTTCCTGTCGCTGTTGGGGCTTCTGCAGCGGCTGTCCGTCGTCCGTGGTTTGATCGGAGTTGGCTTCGACGCTCCCACTGCAGTAGAATGACGTTGTCGAGGCATTGCTGGTGACAGCACGCAGTAATGGTAAACGATGTAACTTTGGTTAAATATATAGAGTTTATTCAGTGAAGCTGTGAATAGTGAGCCCTACTGGAGGGCAGGGCAGCAGTTCGCAAGCCGCAGGTCGGTGGCAGCGGCTACGCCCCGCATCTGCTGAGCTGCATCAAAAAGGCCAGGGATATTCACTTCAGTATCTAGTATATACTCTGCAGAAATCCAATTTTGCACTGTTTCCATATTTATTTCCCCTTGTAAGGGCCAAGTACAACCAGTGTTTCCGCCCGACGTCGTCGTGCCCTCGTGGGCCAGTGGTCAGCCTGTTGTCGCAGAGGGGACAACAGGCCTCCGCATCGGTAAATTCCCTTATTTTATAATTTCCCGCTAGCCACTGGTTGTGTGTAAGCTTTTTCGTGTTTCTGTACACGTTAGAGTCCTCCTTTCCATTTACCCCCTTAACATCGTCTACTCCGACTCTAAAACAACTTGAACAAGCAGCAGCACCAAAACATAAAACCGTCCACCCTGGAAAGCAACTTTTGTACCTTTTCGTATTTAGAATAACACTGTGACATCTAAATCCTCATAGTGATGAGGGGAGGCGCACCTTCTGCCGCCCTACGGAGGGAGCTGGCCTCAATCGATATGATGAAAAGAAATACAGTGGCGCTTGATTCAGATACACTTCCCTCAGCCTCTGATGGACTACTGACAATGTCTTCTTCCGGAAAGATCCATAAAAGCTCGGATATGCGAGACGTTTCCCGGGATAGAGAAAATTCAAAGTTGCCGAGAAGCCAGCACGTGGTAAGCGCATTCTAAGCCATTTTTAGTGCGACCTAGCAGTTTCATAGTACAACAAAATACGCAGTCTTCGGTTTGTAACCATGATGAGGCGCTCCGCTGATCACCCTGCTTCGGGGGTTCACCCGCAATACACAAATTTATGCGCCTCGCCAAAACCACTTTCTAATTCACCACTTGTTTCTGCGGTTCCTTCAGAAGTGGCCGAAAGAACACACTCAGGAGAGCCTTAGCTTTCAGCAGGCTGGTCGTTTTCCCAGGATCTCGGTGGGGGAAAAGCGGGATTTTTCAGGAGAAAACACGGGACTTCCATCCCAACGTTTTAGCAGCAGGCCTACGCGAGTAGGAAAAGCGTCAAAGAGGTCTGCGGGAGCAGGAATTGCTAAAACGGAAACACTGAATTTTTTTCGAGACAAAATGAGCCTTGCTGACGACGGGAGCTCCCCCACGGAAAGGACGTTCGGCCAGAACGAAACCGACGAGATTGCTCGTACCGCGAAATCAAGAACTTGTCTGGAGCGTCAAACAGGATCAGGACGTTTTATGGCTTCTCATGGGCCTCTTTCTCCTTACGACTGCGCGTCACGCGTTACTGACAAGACTAAGGCTGAGATGTTCCTGGCTATGTTACAGCAACGGAACCAAGAACTGCTGCGAGAAAACGGATATTTAAAAGAAGCCCTCTTGGCGAGCGTCACAAATGGCGAACTTCTTTTCCTTCTAGAGAACAGCGACACAGATGATGCCACTGATGAGCGAGAGAGCAGATCCTTAGCAGTGTCTTCGTGGGTCCCTGGGAAAGATAAGACCCTCTCAAGTGAAGGAAGTCCCAGAGAGGGTCATTTGCAGACCAGAAGAACCAAAAGCATCAACCTGCCTTGTGTACGAAAATTTTTTGAAGCTGTCAGCTGCTGCATTGGGCCGTCTTGCCGCGATCCGCCTCTCTTGCCACGTGATGGCCTCGTTGCTTTAGCAGACGACTTCGGGATGGACACTTTTCATGAGCCGCCACAAACAATAGAGAAATTACACAGAAGCACGGAAGACGAAAATGATGGGACTTCGATCAAAGTCGATTTTTTTCCCTTTGGGCATCCAGAAGATGATGAAGCTGCGCAGACCGATGTAAATCAGAGTGAGATTTGATCGCTGTGGCGTCACTGCTGCTGTTACAATCACATATGCTTTAGCCAGTGCTGTTGTTGCTGGAGCTCGTGCCGCAGCTGCACGCTTCATGATCCGGTCTCTGCTGGTCTTATGTTGGTGCGTGCATTCGCAGTTTCTGCAGTTGTTATCTCGTCAGCTTGTTCTCTTATCACTGATGAAAAAATTAAAGAACAGTTCCCCACAAAAAGGTCCTTTGGATCGCCCGCTGTAATGGGCTCTGCTCGTCTCCCATCGCGGCTCACCGTGGGAACCCTTCAGTCCTTGCCACCCAACTTAGACTGCCGCAAGGCAAAAGATGCCTTGTTCTTTCCGTCCACCATCCCTCTGACTGCGCTACTTCCTCAGTCCCCATATGCTAATCCTTGTTTGCTGCCTCTAACGGCCATAAATGGAGACCCCTTGTGGCTACCCGTGCGGCTTAGAGAGTCTCTTCATGCGATTTTAAGTGAGGCACCCAGCCCGGGGGAGGCGCTGATGGGCCTCTGGAGAGTTTGGAGCGAGTATCTGAGGCATCTGCAGGCCCTTAAGAAGACTGTTGATCAGGCATATGCACAGCAAAAGCCTGCTGTGCGAAAGAACGTTAAGGATGTCGGAGTCCTTGCGGTGGATCCTCCGCTCATGAAGGACGAAAAATTTGCGCAAATCGTCCCTTCGGTATCCTCACCGTGCCCAACATCGGCTATCGCCACACTTGTTCCAAGGCAGCTTCAGGCGGAAAAAGATTTTAAAAATTCTTACACGCAGTCATTTTCTTCAGAAAACCCAGTTGGTCCGGTCCCTCGCCGGAAGAGCCATCTAGGGGTGAGTGCTGCATCTCGCAAGTCACTGACCCCTAGGAAACGCGCAACCTCAATTCCCGCTGACAATCGAAAAATGCCTTCACACCTAACAAGAGAGCCTTCTGCGGAGGCCCGCAAGAGTTTGCGAACGAAGGAAACTGCACCGAAGACGCCAAGGTTATCCCAAAACAAACTTGGAGACGAACTGCCTAGAGCAAAAAAATTGAGCAAGTTCAAGAATGATGATGGACTGATGTATGAGGCGCTTGAGAAAGGGCTCACCAGGAGTAGTATTGGACCCAACTCGGCAGACGGGCGGCGCCCTACGGTTACATTGGGGCAAGCCAGCACAAGGCGCTCACAGCGCAAGCAAACAGACACCCTCAGAACGACTTTGAAAACAGCTGTTTTAGAGAACCTGGAAGCTCCAGGGAAAACACCGCAATCAGCAAGAGCAGTAACTGTACGCCCACTTGCACATGGAACTTTGGGCAAGTCAGCCGAGGTGGCACGTCACGGATCACGCCGACCAAGTAGGGTGACTAACATGAAGGGCGTTGCCCAGAATAAGCACAGTGTAGCAAATGCCTGAAACTGGCGATTTTGGGAATGTCCAAAACAGCCAGTTGTCCAAGAAGGCTTCCATTTAACGGAGGCCGTCGTCATCAGTACTTCTTGGCAAAAAGAAGACCCTTGCAATGGAAGAAAGGAGAGGAAAATTCGGGTGTCTCTTCGCTTACCCTAGTGGGCTGTGGCCGTTTGGAAACTCAACCATAGTTCACTTAGAATCAGAACAGTGCCGCAAGACAGCTTGGACACACCCGAATTTGTCGGGCCTTGTCCAGTTCTGATTGTCGCTGTTTGTGCAGTAACCACAGCTGCTGTACTGGTTTTGTTCTTCGCTAATATTTGTGGTTTGGTAATATTGAAGGTTTGGGCGGTTTCTTCTGTTTTCGCCAAAGCACGTGGACACATGCCACATTCAGTTCATGCGTTGTCATAATGAATCAATTGCTTACCAATGCTCCTGTGGAGGCACACAGCAACAGTGAATTAAGCTAAGAGGAAGGTACGCTGCAGGACATGCGGCCCACGACGACGTGTGTAGTTAGCGATCCACAAGTGTGGGAGGAATGGGCAAATTCGCTGTCCAGGACACGCTCTGCATGCCCCAGTGCACGACATGCTTGAGGTAAGCTAATCGAATGCTTATAGTTAAGTTGGAGTTGAATGACTGTAGATGCTACTGCTGCTGCTGTGTTGTCGGGATGTACTATAGAATTCTGCAACTCGTTGCTTAACGTTCCTCCTAGCTTCACAGTTGCTAGCACACCTACGTTTCCAGATACTGAGAGACATAAATATGGCAACTATAGCATGTTGTTGTAGACCTGGGCGGTGCTGTGGTACCCTCCAGCCCCATTCACTGGAGCAGAGGGACGTGGATGATTTGAAAAAGACCTGACCATTCTTCGCCTCTCAGTTCCATTAATTAAAAGAGTACATGTCTTGGCGCTGCAGATTCTCTAAAGGGATTCTCGCGGAAGCGCCGCCAAGGTGTGCAGAATTATATTGTATATACATGAGCACTATCGATAGTCCCTAAGCTCTTCAGATGTCTACCCAGTTCGAAGTGGGTTTCATGCAGCTTTCTACGGCGGTCTTTCCTTCTTTTTTACTCACCTGGGAGGTAGAATTTCCGTGTTGGTAGGCCCAATGGACGGGGGATATCTCTTCGGGGATGTGGATTCGACGAGTCCCTGGAGGCCTGTCCAGCAGACACACAGAGATCGGGCAGATCTGCCTGATGAACCAGCCGGTAAATGCAGTGCAGAGTCTTTCTGCCGCGGCTTGAGCGGCACAGAAGGCCTCCATCAGAGCGCCTTGCCTCAGAACGCAGCTTACGCACAAGCGGATATGCTCATCAAGAGGTTGGGGGAGTTGATGCAGCAACAAAAGCAGCAAGATGCAGTGGCCGCCGCATTCTCTGCAGCTGCCGAATCGCTCCCTCTGGTCCAAGAAAAGCTAATGGAGCGAAGAATCCGGCCTGCCGCTTTGGTGTCACTCAGACACCCGATTGAGAAAGTTACTCTCGTAGCAGAATCTACCCATACCGCAACAGCACAAATCACAACGGAAGATACTGAAGCAGAGAATGCATCAAAAGTCCAAGCACAGGGTTTGAATGAGGTGAGCGGGAGCGGCAGCAGCGACATGAGCAACAGGAGGACGGACCTGATGCTGCTGGACATTTCACTTCAAGATAAGGAATCAGAAGACCAAGTTTTCTGCTTCTTTCCAGAACTCGTGCCATTGCTAAGACGGGGCCTAACAGTGTTGGAATTCATAGAGTCGCCTGAGGAGGCGCAGCAGGAAACGAATCCTCAGGAACAAGGATCCCGACGAAAACACATGAAACATGATTATCAACAACAATCAAAGTACGTCTTGGTGCGCCGCGGCCTCCCGAAGTTCTTCGATCTCGATCTAGAACTTCTGGCTTGTTTCGTTCTGCAGGAGACCAGAAGACAAGAGCAGCAGCACGAACACAAGCAGGAGCAGAAGGAGCAACGAACACGCTTTGAGCAGCCACCACATGTGCAAGAGCTGCAAAAAAATCGGCAGCAGCAGCAAAACTCGCCGGGTCAAGATCAAAACTTGCCGCAACAGCCACAAGGGAAAAAGCCGTTGAGACAACGAAGGATACCAGAGTGTCACCAGAAGCAGCGACAGCGAGGGCAGGCGCGCAGAGGCGATGCTCAAAGTTTAGGTGAAAGTACCGTTAATAGTGCTCTAGACATCGCAAGAAGAGGGTCTGCGAAAGCTCTGTTGTGTGCTCACCAACTGTCAGCTTGTCTCCTACGTTCCCTCAGCATTTCCAGCAAAGGCAGCATTGCATGTAGCAGCGAGGAAAACAGTACGAATGCGGTCTCATTGGAAGTTTGGGCACTCGAAAAGCTAAATGGAGAGGCGGCCCAAATTTCCTTCTGCACTGAGCTGAATGCTTGGGCTTGCTGCAGCAAGAATGTCTGTGTGTTTTTACCTGCTGCTGCTGCAGCTGCCAACGGATGTAGGTACACACTGCCCAGTGCAGGCGAGGCAACAGCAGCAACGCCCGAGACTGCAGCGGCTCCACTGCAGCAACACTATAGCAAACAGCACCAGCAACGCAAGGAAGGTCACAGTGATGTTCAGCAGCGACAGGAAGAGCAGCAGCGCTTTTGTGAAACGCAACGAGAGAAGCAGCAAGACGTTGTTGCCTTGCTACGGCTACTGGGGGCCGACCGCATTTTTTCGCAGCCCTTCTCGGTTGATACACTGCGGCTTCGCCGCAGAGAAACTTACGCCTTACGGGTGTCTGATGCGTGGCAAAAACAGCTGCAGCGGCTTACTCAAGAACAGGTAGAATAAAAATCCAATCTCTTTTCATTGACGTTTGTGGCACTTCAAATATACAAGGTTTGCTTGTACCTCGTTATTGGGTCTTTGTTAGTTATAACGTTGGGTTTGGGGTCCTTGGTTGGATTTGACCAAAATGGTCAAGGGCTATGCATGCACAATGTGCGGCCTGTGCGTGGCATCATCAGGTTAGGACATTGCAACAGGTGCTGCAGAATCACACACTTGTTGGCGAGCTGATAGGCGATGCAGAGAAGCAACATGTCGTGCCTGCGTCCAAGCAGCGACGTGAGAAACAACGACAACAGTGCACAATAACACCGGAGGGGAGACTAATATTCTTCGCTTTGGTACCACACAATCTTGAAGGTGCCAACAGAGGCTTCGGTGAACCTCCCTGTCTTTGCCCCAGTGTATCGTTACCACTGCTCCAATCGTTGGGACTCGAGACGGCATCACTAGCAGCGCGACTGCAGGCGTCATCACCACTAGAGCTACTGCTGCCACTGTGTCAACTGGAACTGCAGAGAGCAAGCGACTGTGATACTGAGGGCCTTGTTTTATATTTTTGCAGCCGCACAGCGGACGTCAGCGGTGCCGACTCCAAGGCCGCGTCAGCTGTAGTGGCGCTCGCGAAGGTCAAGTCTGCTCCGTATTTGATGCGTAGGAAGACAAGAGAGAAACTCAAGCGCCTGGTTAGGAGTAGATGCTTCTGGTCAGCTGCAGCAGCGACTGCTGCTCTGGCAAAAAGAGCGCTGGTCGAGGGACAAGAAGCGGAGGACGCTCCCACTATTATTTCCCAGGATTTTGCCGCGGCACAGGCGGCTCTGCCCACTTCAACCACTTTTGAGGGTGCGGGAGAAGTTGCTACTGCATACGCCGTAGCTTCCTCCTCAAGAACAGGGGCAGCTGCAGAAGCTGCACTTCGTGTCCGCATAGCCGCTGCCGTTGGACTGTACTGGTGCAGCTTTCTTGAAGAAGAACTAAGCCGTTTCAACCATATACTACAGTCATGCTTGCCACGCAATTTCTCATTTTCTCTCCTTAAGGAAATATTGAGCTCACAGCAGTACCAACAGGAGCGTACACAGGAGTACTTGCTGATGATCCAAGAGCGACAGCAGCAGATGATGTCCTCTTGTGGCCATATGGTGAGAGAGGAGAGTGCCAATTTCAGAAGAGCAGCGGCTTTCTTGTGTTCCCTTGCCGCTGCTCTGTTGTTGGAATTAGATTGCCAACCAGATCCAGAGCAGATCTTCCTGGATTGGCACAAACTGCAGAGTCAAAAGTGTCAGCAGGTACAGCTGCAGCAGGACACAGGAGGCTTAAGCAGCACGGAAGAGTCAAAGCGCTTTCTGCAGTTCCTTTTACATGGGCGAGGAAGGGATCGGGGTTCAAATTGCTTTATGGGCCCACTTGGTCGATTCTTGGTCACATATGTAGACATGCGGCTGCTAGACCTCATGGAAGACAGCGCTGCATTTGGCACTGCTGTGGGCGCCCCAGAATGCTGGACTGCTTTGCCGCAAGAGCTGCAGTTCCATCTGCAAAAGACGAGCAACGCCTGCACCAGCAGCCCATACTCTTGTGTCGTTAGAGTAGCGGATTTCCGTAGGCTCGGCTCTTTTTCGTCAGTGCGACTGCAAGAACACGATGGCAGAACGCTGAAGCGTCTTCAAGCGAGGAGGCAGGAGCATGCGGAACAACCTTGTCAACAAAATCACTTGGACAGGCTTGTACTGCGACGTCAGCGAGTAATTGTTTGCCTCGTAACTCACCCTCTGGCCCTACGTGCTTCTCAATATCAAGAAGTACAAAAGCTTTGTCGTGACCGTGGCTGCAGCTTGGTGCTGCGGCACAGGTCGTGCGTAAGCGCTTGCTGCTGCCGTTGCCACGAGTCCAGATGCAGCGCCTTTTGTTATCAAAATCCCAGGGTCAGCACAAGAGGCACAGCATTCGACCAGTTTGCCTCGTTGATTATACTTCTGGGCCTTGATCAAGATGGCTATGCAATCTCTTTGCAGAGGCTCCGCCAACTGTTGAAGCATCGACACGCGAAACAGCAACATCTGGGACATAAGCAAGATTTAGAGTGGGATGGCATCGCACTAGTTGGCCAGAAAGGCAACATCGAGGGATTAAGGGGCTTTGCGATGCAGAGCGAAATTTCTACGTTCGCGAATGCAGCTCGTTTTCTTGTGGCAGATACAGTGGTAGGAAGGGCTATTCAAGAAGCAAGCAGCGATGCCGCCGCGGAAAGCATTCTTGCACTGGCGTCAAATTGTTGTACCAGGGGTGTTCGAGAAGCCAGCTTTGGCTTCTTCAGAACATTGCAAGCCGACAATGCTTCACGCCAGGTCCAAGCTGGTGAAAAAGGCGGCCACGTTACTTTGATAAGGTTCCCTACGCCAAAGGTAGTGCACGACTCTGATGGTCGTATCTGCTATTCGGAAGATGTGCGTTGGCAGGGATTTATCCAAGAAGTTGGCGCAGCGATTCAGACTGCCTCGCAGACGGGAGCACAGGGCCCTCCCGCAGCAAGCAGCCAAGAGGCTGCCCGGGAATCGAGTAACGTGGCCGCTTCGTCTTTTGAGCCCCAGAATACCGCGCCAGCTTTCATGTCAAGCTGGAAGGAACTTGCTGCCCCGCCATCTCAATCCCTTTCTCTTGTTTCCGTGGTTGCGCTGCTTCCCGTTGGTCTCCCTGGCAGCGGAAAAACAACGGTGCTCTTGGAGGCCTTGCGCCCTGCACTGAGGCAGGAGCTAGTGTCACAGAACACTTTTTCTGTTGGAGGAGTCACCGGTGAGCTTCACACGTCAGGGCCTAGATTCAACGTGCCGGACTTCAGGTTAAAAATCGCTTTCTATTATTCACTTCGTACCGCCTGAGACTGCCGTTCCTTGATCTCAAAATGTTTTGGGTCTTCTCAACGTTTTGCAGGTTTCACTCTTTGGGAGGGTCGGCCGTCTCTTGAAACGAAGGCAACAGCAACATTAACGGCAGCAGAGACGTCTAACACCACGGAAACAGAAAGGGCAACGAAGATGCCACCAGTAGCCGCGTCAACAGCAAAGGTTGAGGCAACAGCAACAACCGCAGAGAAGCCGGCACGGCTTGTGTCTGCCGTTGATTACGCATGCATATTAAGCTCGGACGAGTTTACGGGCGAAGTACTGAGATCTTTTGGTTACAGAACCCCTGTGGGTTCCCTTTACCAGATGTGCCATGAAGAAGCATTGAAGGCTGGTCCAGCAGCAATAAGCCGGCTGAGTGTTCCGTGCGGTCAGCAACTCATAGGCGGGGACAGCCAGTCACCTCCAAATGAGAAGGCTATCAAAGCAGCAATAGCAGAGGCAAGGAGGAACATGAAGTCTGCTCTCGATGAATTCTTTTCTCAATTAACGGAAGCTCTCCTACATCAGATGTATAAACAGCGACAGGAACAGGAAAAGGGAAGGGAAGACTCGGCAGCAGGACGCTGGTCCCGTCCCATTCGCGTCCTCATAGCTTTGGATAGGAATCATCCCCCTAATGCGATCGGGCCTCGCTTTCATGAGATGCAAGAATACTTGCATGCACTGCAGTCGACGGTCCTTGAGCGCTGCGGGATACTCGTGAGGGTTGCTACTGCTGCGCTGTTGCTACCGCCGGACGTAGCTCAAGAGAAGTCCTCGTGGCCACTTAGAACTCCTGTGGGATGCTCTAAGAAGCAGCGCATACCATGGGACTTTCCTTGGTCAATAGAGGTGGTCCTGCGCTGCATGCATAGGGTGCTGACCCGTGTTGACCATGCTACCCTTCAAGGAAGAAAAGGCCAACGTGCACGATTGTCAGAGAGCCCTGTCTCGGAATCCGATGTTACACAAGACAATAAAGCCCTACACATATGCCTTTCCTTTCTATCTTGCTTTCGAGGCTACTCCAACCTTGACAGATTCTTAGAAAGCCATCCATGCATCAATCACGTGCTGCAGCTGCAGACGGTGCTACCGAAGCAGCAGCATCAACAGGAGCAGAATCAACTGCCAAGGCAGCAGCTGCAGACTCAGCAGCAGCTACTGCTAACTGCTCTCTCCTCCCTAAGACCGTTCAGTGAACTGCCGGCTAACCAGGATATTTACAGTGCTCTCGCGGCTAGTCTGAGGCAGTGCCCTCCGAATGGCTCAGCCTCTGATTTTTTTCAGTCGAGCCCGCAAACGAGTGCTACTAGGAGTGCAGCAGAATTGCTGCATCTGCTCGAGAATGTGTATAGTTCGATGGAGAACCCAGTGCTGCAACAGCCGAGCCAGCGAAATCAGCAGCCTCAACAGCAGCAGCCCCAACAGCCACAGGAGGTGCAACAGCAAGGCGTCCACAGGGATATTTCTCCTACCAGCAAACTTGAGCAACCACGGGGAGATCTGGACGGGGTGATGCCAGAGGATGACCCTGTGGTACCGTCCACAGCAAGAAGCAACTGCGGATCTGACATTATCATGCGACTTCCAACTTTCTTCAGCGTCTTGCTAAATGATGAAAAAACGACGCTCGCCTCGCTGACTGAGCAGCTCTTTGCTGCGGCGAAGACTGCAGAAAGTCTGTGCGGCCCTTCTGTCGAAGACATCAGCAAGACTATAAGGCCCGTAGAAAAGCCTCATGTCACGACTTTTTTCTTCGGAGGTGGTTCCCTAAAGGTTAGCAGAGACATGGTTGCTGCTGCGAACGACTGGCTAGACAGGAGGCTCAGTGCATGCTGCGCAGGCGATGCCTCGCATTCGGATTCCGCAGGAAAACCCTCGCAGGGGTCATTTACCGTTTCTTCCAATTTCCTCCGCGTTCTGGAGCTCCTGGCGTCTCGGAGGCAAGTTGGCCTCTACTTTAAATTTCGAGTGACTCATCTCGTCCTTACGGATTTCGGCGTGGCTTGTGGTGCATTGAGCCCTGTCTGTTCCGTCTTACCTCTGGCAGAGTGCTCTACCCCGAGCGCATCCACGTTAAAAGACAATGCACATAATAAGGAGGTCGAATACAGAGGTGTTGAAGGTGAAATGGAAGAGATCGATGGAAGGGCGGGTGCATGCGGCCATTTCTGTGCTGCATGTGGGCCTCACGAGTTTGTGGGCACTTCTTCTAAAGCTTACAAGTTGTGCATGGCTGCGAATCACTATGCACACGTTACTTTGTCCCTTAGTGAGGGTGTTGCAGCAGTGATGTCCAACGACGTTTTGCAGGCAGCAGACAAAGCTATAGTGAATGGCATAAGGGAAGGGCGGTTAAGGGCAGACACACCCAGACCATACTGCACGGGGGCACCCGAAGATGTACCAGGAACCCCTGAGAACCACAATGAGATACTTTCATCGTGGGCTCCATATCAAAATGTTGAGTGCTTTGCAGTCGGAGACAGCGATGACCCTCAGGAGCTCATCGTCTTCACAGGGGCTGTAGTAAGAGGCATTTCCGCACGTTTATGGGTCTGGGTCATCCCAGAAGATGGTCAAGAAGAGCTAGAGGGCCCACTCCAAGCAAGCTGAGAACACTGAGATGCTGAGTCAAATGAAGCGGGGCCCTTCAAGGGAGGATACCTATCTTTGTGTCTCGGGGTAACTCTACAGCGTGCTTTCTGGTCATATTGATCTTATTGACAGTCAGGCTTCTCTCCCGTTCTTTCTGTCCATTTCTGAAGTTCCGCAGTGTCTTACGTAGCCAAAGCATAGGCTTGACAGTTCCACCCAATGGCAATAAGCGTCTTCAAGCTGCGCTCCTGCACCACCGCAGAAGAGATGTGCTTTGTAGGAGTGACTGCTTTGCTGCCATTAGAATGCGTCTGCCCTAGTCATTCTTTTAAGTTAACTTATTAGCTGAAGCAGCGACCGCCGGAGGTAGTTGCTGGCAATGACAAGTTGATTGCAGTGCAGAAATTTCTGGCAAATTGCGAGGTGGATGATGCAGCAGTTGCACGTTTCCGGCTGAATCTTCCTTGTAGGACAGCCAGAGAATGTATAGCTTCAAAAACTTTTTAAAGCCCTGTGTCAGTACTTAACTGTTTGGACTGCAAGGAGGAACCTTTGTAGGGGAGTAGAATGCCGCACTCGCGTTCCTTTTGATAAAATGGCCCCTGAGAATCAGCAGGTAGAATGACGCTAGCCGCTGAACCTTCAACTTCCAATTCCACATCAATGTTGCAATAAATGGATGTTGTCACAGTAGGAAGTACGCATGCAGGGTAATTTTCACGCGTAATCGCTGTTGGTAACAGGCTTTTCAAGTAGTTGCTTGCCGACAACACATTTTGTAGCCCCATTTCAGCTACGCATCGAGCTGGACTTTTCGTACGCATAACCCGCAATTTGCGTGTGCAAAACTATGCACACAACCTTTTTTGCTGCGAGCATTGTTAACCACTGCTTGATTCATATCCTCTAAGAATTCCTGCGTGTTCTTAGAAGCCACGATCTACGCTTAAATGAATATACCTTGAGCTTGCTGTCGGTTGGATTAGACGCAGCTGCTGCCGCTTGTTGCTCAAAACTAATCTCGAGTATTCATTCTCACTGCAGCGGCACTGTTCGGTCGCCACACGTTTAGTGAAGCTCCATAGGTGTTCCGTCCTTAACTATTGTTTTTGTGGCTGCTGGACGCGGCCACCTTACAGATGTCTCATCACGCAGACGAATTCCAAGTACGTGACAGGGGGTTTATCTAAGTCGGCGCAGTAATACTGCAGAGAAGACTGCCACTCATATGATCATACGTGCGATGCTAAAAAGAATGCTCCTTTGCTCAGGACATTTGAAAATGACTTTAACTATAGATGAACGATAAAGATGTTCGCTCATTGCCGGATAAAGGAAGTTGGGCAGCCCGGCACTCCTTGCAGTTACTTGCATGGTCGTGCTTCGTAGGCCAAAAGTGGATCTCGGTATTCCACTGTATATCGCAAATCACTAACTATCACTTAACGCTGCATATTGAGTGTTCTCACAATGCAGGCGCCGCGCACTAATCTGTGTCTCCGATTGCTCTCCAGAAGGAAAGGGTTTCAGCAGCTTTTAAGTACGCAGATGTGTCTCGTGTTGGCATTGTTGCAGAACCAATTGGAATAAGAAACATAACATCGGCCAGCGGGTTGGGTTCGGGCTGCTCTGCTATCCGGCAGTCTGCAAGTGTTCTGTTGCCATGCGTCTTTCGAGGCCAGAGATTTCTTTGAGCTTCCAGTTAGAGAAACGCTGTTTCCGCTTTGTAGCATGCTGCTGGACTGATTTACATAGCGAACCATGAGGTCCGAAGCTCTGCATGAATTTAAAGCATACCAAAAAATCTTGCTGACTTAGTACGGCGCAAGGCTATTTGATAAAGATGCCTGCCAACCAAAGAAAAACAGGGCAAAACATAGTCCAATATATTCCCATCCATGCAAATAGAACTAGAAAGCTTCCACTGAAGAACCCCCAGAAGCCTGGTGCACTTCGACTGCCAGCTGATCACTACAGAAAACAAGGAACTCTCCTTTGTGCCGGCCCCCCGCCCGTAAGAGGAAGACAAATGTCTTTGCATTTCAAAGAGCAAGGCGAAATCTATTGCAACGGACGCATATATGCATCGTGTCTTCATATATGGGGATTGAGATACCTGATGCGTACAGCCTCCAGCCCTTACGAGCTCCTGCGCCGGCCATTCAGTCAGTCTGGCAGTATCAAATACGGAGACACGAACGTTCGGCCCACAAGGTACTGTATAACTCGGCCGAGGCTCCTTAAAAAGGCGCAGGTAACGCAGCGTCGTGTCGCCCATTAGGGGTCCCTAAAAGGGGTGTCGCCATTGTCCATTCTCCACGGATCCCACGCTGAACTTTTGAACCGTTCCGGCCTGTTTGCTTTGCACAGAATCTCTTGTTTCAGTGTAACTACCTCACAAGCGTGGGGACGTTCGCCTTCACGATATATTTCCAGCGCGCTAATCAGACGTCTTATTACAAATGCACGGTTTCCTGTCTTGCGTTTGAATCGCGAAGCGATGATGCTGACATCTAAGTACTTTTCCATGAGGTTTCCCCACCATGCCTGCTTCTGCATTGGTGGGCCGACTACTTCACAAATACACCACAAGTAATCCGCAACGAGAAAACGACGTCCCAAAGTATCCCCTAGGCGCCAGGATATGATAAATCCCTTGCCGATTCTTTCCGACCACGCTGCGTGGCTAATAAGCGACTCAGCCAAACGCATAAGAACACGAAGATCTCTTTGCTCGAGTTCCGGCTGGATCAACAATCTCCGGATGGGCGACAGCAAATCGACCAGACTTCCGCGAAAAGTATCGAACAGTGTTCGTCTCCAAGGCAACGGCGTGAGGTTTATCAAACCACGCACCCTCGGCAGACGCCAGTATAAATGCTGTGCGTATTGCTGCTCTGCACCGCAGACTCCGACTAAAGGTGCGGTAGATCTTGGGGCTAGCGGAACCTTCAAGACAAACTCACATCCGGTAATCTCACTGCCACTCGCCAGCAAAGTCAAAGGGCTTGGCAACGATGAAGTCAAGAATAAAGAGTGTGAAAAGGTTCATACGCATGAAGGAAACTTCACCACTGTTGAAAACCAATATTATAAAATTCGTGCAAAAACTACCACGCTGCTCATAGACTGCTAGTATGAAGCTCTAACTGGTATCAAGACACTCAAAGTAGGGCAGCAGCAATGAAGCCTCGCAGTTCATTATAAAGGGGAAAACATATTGTTGAGCGCATCAGCGGTGGATTCGTGTGGAGGAAAAGCATAGCAACTAAGCGGCTCACGAATGGATGTGATGTTGCATGCGTCGCCGGTAAGCTCGACTCCTCACGCGCAGCGCCGAAAGGACCCAACTCGAGGGCACGCACATGCTCCTGCAAGCGAACACAGCTACACGAAGCTGTCGCCTCACGCAAAGCGCATTTTGATCCCGCGCAACTTCATGGTAAGAAAAAAAAGGCAAACAGATTGCTTGATGGCAAATTCGGGGACTGTTCGCCCCAAACCTACACAAACGCACTGCAGGCCTCACATAATTGCATCGAGTGGCGCAGTGGCTTCTCCAAAGGATTAAAATGTTTGAGGCTCTCGACTAGGGGTCACGAAATAGTGAGTAGCAGACACTTTCCTGAAAGGGGTGCCCCACCGCGTGCATTTCGGAGTCTGGATTGTGCTGTGCAGGCGGAGCCAGCGAAACACCTTGCGAAGACTCTTCAGTTTCATGCTTTTCAACAGAAAGCCGATTATGTTCTCCAGCAGCTTCACTGGACTGGGGCACAAACTCCGTCTGAACAGTTTCAGTCACAATCATGTTCGATGCCAAATTCTTTTCTGTGCGCGTAGGAGTCACGTTCCACTGCTTCGCTTCAGTTGTCCTGTCGAGATGTTTTGCGACGTCATTTTTTTGTTTCAAGTTACCCGCTGGCAAAGCCGCTGCTGGCCAGGCTGGAGCGAAATCAACCAACAAACTTGCCATTTCTGCTTCGTTTCCCTTGCGCACTTCTGCGCATAAAACAGCCTTGGCTTGCTCGGGCTCATCCGGTGGTGTTCTATTTTCCGTATTAAATTTCAGCTCCCCATGGCTTGAGCATGCTTCTGAAGTAAGAAGCAAGCCATTCGAAGCCATGATGTGGGTCTTCAGGCTCTTGTTGTTCGCGGGTAAGGGAAGAGGTTCATACTCCTCCAGTAATGCTGGGGAGCCATTTTCTCTTACACACGCTCCTTCAGACCAGCCATTTTTTTGTGTAACCCTTTTAAGTTGCTGGGTGAGTCCAGTAGTGCCTTCACCAGCGGATTCGTTTGAATCCGAATCATCTGATCTACCTACAGTCGGCCGCTCCTCTGGAGCTCCACGCAATCCTCGTACAGACGACACTAGATCACCCTGTTGTTCCACAGCTTCGATAGGCAAAAGTGGCGTCCGCTCTTCAAGCACAAGACCGAGAAACCAGTCGTCGACTTCCGGTTGATCTACATCCAGAAAGGAATCTAGCCAGGAACCAGCTTCAAAGAAGTCACAGTCCATCAATGAAGGATCGGATTTTCCCCTTATTTCTGACGCTGCATAGCCTGCAGGTAGGTGGAAACTGGCATGCGAGCCTTTCAAGTAATGGATAGCAGGGTCGCGTTGCCGAGGAGTCAATAGTTCCAACAGATGATGTGAGGGAAGCTCACGCTGGTCCGCCAGCCATGGAGCGTCATCTACTAACAGCTCGTCCGATTGGAACTGCTCCGCTTGCTCTGTGCGCGGCTTAACTGCGGTGCTCGTGTAGGGCTTTGCCTTGTCTTGATTCTGTCTTTTCGCACCGGCCATGTCTCCCATGAAATCCTCGAAAGATGCAAGGTCGAAATCTTCTTCGCCTTGAATTGATATTGCTGTGGCTAGAATCTCCCCGCATTCTGCCGTAGACGTGCTGGAGGAGTACCAATTCACTTCGTCAGCGTCTCTGCTAGATAAGCGTCGTCGGACCTGCCCCAATGGCTTCCCTTTGCTCCTCGGAAAAAGACAAGAGTAGACGAATAGCAAGCCAGAGAGAAGTGATGCAATAGAAGCTATCACGATCAGCTTCAATTTCGGCTTGCTGAGAACAACTTGAGGTGAAGTGACAAGGGCAATGTCACCGCCCTGCCCGAGTGGGGGCTGACACGTGGAAGCAACATAATCTCCCTGTTCCCTATGCAACTGGTATTCTCGGCAGAATAGTGTGGTTTTCATCTCACAGGTGACAGTATTGATTACTACGCTTCGCAACGAGCCCCTTTATAAACTTGCATTTTAACACAGGACACGAGCGCCTTCCAACGAACGACACAGAGTCCATTTAATGGAGGGAAGCCTATGCTCCGGCGCGGCACTCGCCGCTATGCCCTGCACGATGGCATTGAACTAAAAAGACACCTTCTTCTCAGCATGCTGTAAAATTGCTTTCTGAAGAAAAGCACAGCTGGTTTTAGTCCGATACACGGATGCATCGGGCTACGCAGGGGACCCTGGATCGTTGTCTCCTCATCGTGCGCGTAATGGCGTCAAACATCTTTCCGTGGAGTTCCAACTCCTTTATTTATGTGTGGCATACCCGTTGAGGGTGTGATTTTTGTGATTATGCAGTTGGCCAGCCGTTTTAGCTGGCAACACCCCCCTCGGTGCTCTCCGTTGCTGTTTTGCAACAGGGTCCACTCATCAGTAGCAGCGTTTAAGGAATTACACGCTGTTCCATTGCAAAATAAACAAAGCCTTTAGGTTAAACGTTTCATGCGAAGCCTATGTCAAAAGTTTTACACCGTTCTCAAATCAAGCTACATAATGTGGTGTTCGGTTCCAGTCAACATGGTCACCACCACTAAGCAATACCGTGACTCTGCAGAAGCCACGATAGCCTTTGTTTATCAAGGGGCTTTTCTGCCAGTAGGCAGAGGATTGAGGGGTTACAACTAAAAAAGGAAGGATACAACGGAAGTGGCACTCTGCGACGTGCTCGAAAGCAGCTCTATCAGGCATGTTTAATCATCTAGGACACTGCAAGGACTTTCCTTGCAGTTACTGAGCACTTGATATATCCAGGCCAACAGACAAGGATGGTACAGGCTACGGTCGCGACTCCTGCCCACACGGAGCCTCTTTGGCGTTCCGTACTGGATGCAAGTTCGGTTTCACGCGTTGAATTTTCACGCACACAAACTGGCATCTGGTGGAAAGGAAGTGATGCAACGAAACATTTTAAACATGCAAGTGCGCTCTGAGTATCCTTAGAGCTCAAAATAGATGCCCTGGCTCCCAGCTGGCCGTTCTGCTCATTTAGGAGAGGACACAAGGATGACATATGCTTTTCACTGGGTAAATTCATGTTTGGGTGGCCCTGGAAAGCACAGATGACCCGCGTTTCCTATTGCTGAAGACCAACCAGAGTCGTCTACGCATATCCAACATCATGGCCAAGCAATATATATGTCCCAGGCTCAATTTTGGAGTAGTGCACATTGGATATGCCACTGATGCCCTTCGAACATGAATTGTGTAGAGCATGATTCAGCAATGGTGAAAAGCGCATATACTTCACAAAGTAGAACTTTTCCGGGTTTGAGCGGGCTAAATAAAACCTGTACCTAAACCGGACCCATATGTCCCCACTTTCGAAAAAATTGGAGGTTAAGTAGTTTCATGTATGCCTGTGCCTAGGTCATCCTGACGCAGTTTTGTGCTGCTCGTCGCTGCGGGAGGCTTGCCTTTGACAACGCACAGGTTTTTGCCCATCTGTCTTCCTCCGTTTCCAAAAATTGTAGGTTGCACACAAATCATAACTTTTAGGAGCGTCGGATGGTGACGATTGCGCAAGGCACATCAGGCTCACTTGTGACTGATGAATCGAAGTGCTCGGAATAAAGCTGGACTCTTGCTTTTATCGGACATCTGCTGCTACCTCTCACAATGTTCCTGTTGTACTATTTGGTCCTTCAATCCTAAGGTTTACTCCGCATATGGGAAATCCGTCTCTTTCTTTTGGTGATGGCTCCCCATTACTGTTGCTGCAATTGCTATGTCGAATTGCCTTGGTCTGAAAGCTTCTAATGATTACATAGGGAAAACTAAACATACTGCCACCTTGAGTATGGCTCATTCCATGGTTTTAGGAACTGATGCAACGTTTCTATGGAAAGTCGGGCTGCCTCGTAGGTGCGCTACTTGCATGAACTGATTTGGCCGCAGTTTCTTCAGGCCTTTTAGTGTTATTGGCAAATTCCTTTTGTCTCCTTTTTGTTTCAAATGCGCTGGCTTTCTGCTCACTGGAATTGCGGAAATCTTTTTGCTAGATGGAATAGTCGTTAGTGTTAAACTTTCCACGGGATCTAGATGCTAAACCTCCGCAAGCTTCTTCGATCATGAAATCACCAGCCATGTTAGTTACCTGTCCCTGCTTTTCCTTCTCCAAATATTACAGTTTAAATCGCTGGTTTGCAAAAGCACATTGAAAAGTAATTTACAGAATCATTTTATGAATTTCTAGAGAATAGCCGATGCACCTACTTGCTCGGAAGCGTGTCACAGCATGTAGCATGTGCACTTAGATTTCTGCTACTGTCTTTTTTACGAATTCTGGCTTTAGCTGCCACGTAATTGCTGGTTTCTTGTACTTTCGGGACTTTCGTTTATCAGATAACTTCACAGATTGTGTAAGGAGTACATCCATCATCACATATGTGGCTGCTGGCTTCTAGGCAGTATATTTTATATAAGGAGGTCCAACGAAATAGCATTCTAGATTTTTGTGTATTAGCGCCGTTGGCCAGATCACTGAAAAAATGTGCCGGCTGATCCTTTCTGTTGGCGGTGGGACATGAAAAACCTATAGGGTGCTTTTACTTTTGCTAAGGCTTTCATTCCTCTTGATATTTCCCGAAGAAATGTTGACTGCCTGGCTTCCATCAATCTCCTACTTGAAATATGCTATCGCTGCACCTTAGCCCAACATCGCTTTAATAGCAAGCGCTCAAGTGTCCTATTCTAAAATTAAAGTCTTGGAAGGGTTCAGGTAGCAGAGCATGGGACAGGTAACGGGCCTGTTCCTCAGGGCCTAAACTGCTGCGGGATATTCCCTGGTCAAAACGAAATTTGCCTTTGCTCTGGCCATGTCAAAGGAGCTCAAATGGTTTTGTGGAGATTAGAAGTTCTGGTTCCCGGCCTTCTACACTTTTCATTTATGCTTCGTCAAAGCCCTGTAGGTCGAGTTTAATAAGTAGATTTGTAGGTCACACAAACTACGCGTTGAGCTTTTCTGAATTTGAATGCACTCGCTTACGCCTGCTCAATAGCGAAAAGGCTTACCGAAGTTCACACATTACAGTTTTGGAGAGATTTCTTCTGTTTCGTTGTCTGGGGCTTCTTTCAGCAATAATGAACGCCTACCCGTTGGAGAGTTCTCACTCAAGGCACAGAAAATCTTGTTTATGACGGATTGGAAAGTTCGAACCGATTGTCTGCATTTAACTGCACTTATTGCATCTGAAATATTCTGTGAAAATGCAGTAAATCATTTTAGACTTACCCGCTGGCGTCACTCTCGCTTTAGGGAGCCCCTATCCCAAAGTTCATAATTACGAACAGCATTTCAGTCGCTAAACGTGCAAAAATGTTTGCCTACAATACGATAAGGCACTGCTTTTTACACTAGTAAAGGCATACAATACTCGATAAATAATTATCGCTGTCTAGCGTTGCATTCCTTGTGCATATTCCTCTTCGTGTATTTGCATGGCGGGAGCATCACATAGAAAAACACTCTTTTGAATCAATTTTCCCGCGTGGCTAGTCAGTACACAGCTTGAAGTGTATAGTTTCCTTGGAAAACAACCAAATAGTCTTTTTTTGTTGCCTTTACGCTATCCACAGCTTCAATCGTCATATTTGTAGGGCATTGGATGCCGAAATGGATATTCTGCTCAGGACTGACTTATAACAGCTATTTATTTTGAAGGCCTCTTCCTTACTTCTGAGCTTCGAGAATCTGATAATGTGTTTTGTTAAAGATTTTTCTAATGGTATCATTTTCCATGTCCCGCTTTTGTCGCTTTTCTGCCCATCACATGCTTTATGGGGAGTGGTTGTTGAGAGGTTTCGGCTAATATGTCCCATTTTCTTGTGTCATATTGCTATGTTTTAAGACTTTCTATTCTTGGCGCTTTTACAAGTCCGATCGACGAACTCCTGGCATGGCGTCTTATCCTGCCAAACGCGCGCGCATGAAGTAATGAAATCTCAATTGTGCCAAAGATTGGCCAATCTAAGCCAAACTTGCTTTCTTAGTTTTGCAAACTCCATCTTATTTTCCTCAGCTCTAACCAATGCCACTTTTGCAACTCCATTTTGTGCCTCTACTTGAAGACCATTCAGGATTTCCCGTGGAACGAAGGGTTCTTCACAATAGGGTCCAAAGGGGAAACGAGTCCTACGCCTATTATGCTAGAAGCTGATCCTACTAATAAGCTGTTATCACCTGACTAACCTCTTGATAATTGGCGACCTCAAATATCGCACCCGCAGTCCCTGGTTAACATAGATTTGCGCCATCCTCCATTAAGACCTAGGGGATGTCTCTTCAGTATCAGTGAGCAAACCGAGCTCTGCATTCCATGAAAGATGCATACTGCGGGGCTTCGCAACTTGCGACCTACTGTCCCATCTTCTGCAACGGCTCTGCTATCTTTTGTCGATTCCACCCCTAAACCAATTTTGCCTTTTAACCTTTGTTTCGCTATAGCTGCTAGTGCTGCTTGCATATAAAGACTTTCTCAAAAGTTATTTGACCCTAGCCACTTAGACCGGGCGCTTCTTGACCGGAAGTTTCTAAAGCACTATAGAGCCACTGACAACTTTCAAAAATATGCATCTTATTTTTCGACCCTTTCCACGTTGACGCAGTATTGCCTTTGCGTGTTTGGTATTTTCGTTCACGATTTTTTAGTGCGGAAGTCGGCTACTGCAGTTTGTGACTCAATAAATGCTGTCTTTTATTTTATCGGCTGCGGGGTTTTGCAAGCCCCTGTATCCCAACGGTTTGTGAAAATATGCAAAATGTCTCCTACTTTCTGGAAACGCCTCAGATAATAGCTACCAGCTTCACGCACAGAGGCAAGGATAGGCTCGTCTTCTTCATGCTTGTGGTTAACTCGGTGTCAATATGAAAGATGCGCGTAAAAACAAGCGAGCCAATGGCTCAAGTT